TCAGAGGACTGTGCGCCTGTAGTGCTTTCCGTGGCTGCTGTTTTGGAAGTAAGTCTTAGGTGCTTCAGGGTGGACCGAACCTCTAACCTTTCTGTTAGCATTGGAGTGGATAGTAAGTATTTAGTGTGGTCATTATTGGTACTATAAGACAAGAATAAAAGAAATCAGGCTTTTTATGTTTTTCTTTAAAGAAAAAAGAAAACAATATCTGGGATAAATATCACTGGAATAAATGTAATAGCTTTACCGAGTATTTACTCGGAAAGGGACTGTATTCTTTATGAAGCCCTCTCTGGGACATTATCTTCTCTGTCTACTTTAAAAATGTTGGTACATACTGTCTCAGAGAAATGTGCTGACGGTGGTTCTCCCCACTCACTTGTGAGTTCCTCCAGAGCAAGGGTTTCCTCCCTTTACACGTGTATCCTGGCACAGAGCCTGGTATACTGTAGATGACCAGCCAATATTTATTGAATGAAAAATTTGGATGCATAGTTTTTATTACATTAGTTTAAAAGTCCATCGTGGTACTTTAGCTCACCCAGTATAGACTAGACACTATTTATTGAAGTGAAATGCTTCAAAGTATGAATTTACTTGAAAAACTTTAAGAAACTTTTGAATAAGTTATATAGCAATAAAACATATTGTACAGGTTAAGCTTTACAAAAATACTTTCAGCTGTGTAACCATCATCACCATAATCGAGATATAGAATGCTTTCCCCCAATTTCCCCAATTTTTTTATACTTCCGTAAATCAATTCCACCTCAGCATTCAATCCAGAACATCACATTGTCTCTCGTTATCTGCTGAGCTGACTAGCACCGTGTACACTATTGGCTGGAGGAATTCAGGATAGACCTCCTTGCCTTGTTCCTGATCTTGGGTAAAGAACTATGTAGTCTTTCATATTAAGTATGACAAGTCGTACACTTTTCATAGATGCCTTTTACTAGGTTAGAAGAAATTCCGCTCGATTAGTTTTCCAGGCTTTCATTTTTAATGTTACTTGGTGCTAAATATTAAATGTTTCTGCCTCTATTTCAGATTATTTTTCTCTTTAGGCTTTTAAAATGTTGAATTATAGTGATTGGTTTCTGAATACTAAAACAATTTTGCCCTCCTATGATAAATCTGACTTGCTTGTGTTATAAATTATATATTGGATTCAATTTACTGATACTTAGTTCAAGACTTTCGTGTTAGGTGTATGAAGCTTATAGGGCTATATATATTTGAAGAGTTTAATAGATAATTCACATATACAGTTAAATGCTTTAAACATTAAAAAGGGTTGTGGAATCATCATAATCAATTTTAGAATATTTTCTTAATTTTTGTATACATTAATATTAGCTTTGTAGCCCCTAACGTTTCCTGCCATAACCCCAATTGACTACTAATCCAGTTACTGTCTCTGTAGATTTACAAACCCAACAACAATAACAAAATAAAACACAGGAAAACCTCAGTTGTGAAAAGATAATAGAAAATAATAAAAACCAGGACACTGGTGGCGTAGTGGTTATGCGATTGGCTACGATCTGAAAGGTCAGCTGTGTTAGTCTGGATACATTAGGGAAACAAATCCACAGAAACTTATATGTATAAGAGAGAGTTTTGTATAAAGGTTAAGTGCGCATCAGGAAAACATCCCAACCCAGTGCTGCCCAAGCCCATAGTCCTACATTAGCCCATATGTCCAACACTAGTCCAGAAAGTCCTCCTCTATCTCACAAAACACATTCAATGACACCGACTGCAGGAGGAAAGCTGAATCAGTGAGCGTGTAAGCATCTCAGCGCTGGCAGGAGTCTCCACACGGCTGCTCCAGCACCCAGGGCTGCATCAGGGTAGGTCCATGTGGCTTCTCTTCAGGGATGTCTAGCAGGAAGTGAGTCTGGCCAGCTGAAGCAGGGAACTGGCTAAGGCAGCTGCACTCTGGTCCGACCATCAGAAAGCAAGAGACCTGAGAACTAGAAAGGCGAGGTTTACCGAGCCATTTATCTCTCCACCCTTCAATTAACCCCACATGTGTTTATTGGCCAGGTTGGCACAATAAACTAATGATCTCATCAGCAGTTCAAAACTAATGGTCATAGCATGGGAGGAAGATGGGAATTTCTATTCTCATAAACAGTTACAGAGTCAGAAACTCACAGGGCCAGTTCTACCTTGTCTTCTAGGGTTGCTATGAGTTGGCATGGA